TCCTTGACCTTCTGCAGCAAGTGCTTCAGATCCTTCTCAGACTCAGCAAGCATGGTTTATGTCATCAGCATAATGCAGATTGTTGATGAATCTACCATTAATCCTGATGCCACATTTCTCCTCATAAAGCCCAGCCTTCTGGATAATCTGTTCTACATATAGATTGAAAAGATACGGAAATAGGACACATACTTGATGCACACTTTCCAATTTTGAACCATACAGTGTCTCCTTGCTCTGTTCTGACGACTGCCTCTTGGTCCAAGTATAGGTTTCACATAAGCACAATCAAGTGGTCTGGGCTTCCCATTCTTCTCAGACTCAGCCGCAGTTTGTTGTGATTTACACAAACAAATGCCTTTGCATAGTCATTGAATAACAGAAAGACATTCCTCTGGTACTCCCTGCTTTCAGCCAAGATCTAACTGACATTAGCTATAATATCCACAGGGCCACGGCCTCTTCTAATCCAGCCTACACTTCAGGCAATTCTCTGTTGATGTGCTATTTTAGTCATTTTTGGGTAATCTTCAGCAGTATTTTGCTTGCATGTGATATCAATGATACTGCTGGCTAATTTCCACACTCTGTTGGATCACCTTTCTTTGGAATAGAACATATAATAGAGATCTCTTCCAGTCAGTTGGCCAAGTTGTTGTCCTCCAGATTTCTTGACACAACTTGGTAAGCACATCCAGGGCAGTGTCTGTTTGTAAAATATGTCAATAGGTATGCCAACAAGGGGCCTTCTTTTTTTGTCAGTTCTTTCAGAGCAGCTTGAACTTCTTCATTCATCACCACAGGCTCTTGCTCATACATTGTTTCATGAAATTTCTCTGTGTTCACCAATTCCTTTTGGTACAATGACTCTGTATACTCTTTCCATCTTCTTTTAATGCTTCCTGGATCATTTACTATTCTGTCCAAAGCATCCTTAAATATTGCAACTTGGGGTTTTAATTTGTTCTTCAGTTACTTCAGCTTAAGAAATGCTGAGCAAGTTCAGCCCTTTTGATTTTCTGACTCCAGCTCCATACACATTTCACTGTAATACTTTGTCTTCCCACACTGTCCTTTGGGATCTTCTGATCAAAATCTTAATATCTTGATTTCTTCTCTTTGCCTTAGCTTCTCGGCCCTCTAGTGCAATATTCAGAGTTTCCTCTGACATCCATCTTGGTCTTTTCTTCCTCCTCTGTCTTTGCATTCTTCCTGGATACTATTCTTGATATCCTCCACAGCTCATCGGGTCTTCACTCACTAATGTCCAAGGCCTCAAACCTGTTCCTGAGATGGTTTCAAAATTCAGGAATAGATTCAAGCCAAATTTTGTTCCTGTGGACTTTATTTAATTTTTCTCAGCTTCAGCTTAAGCATGCAAATGAGTAGTTGGTGGTCTATTTAACAATCAGCACCTGGTCTAGTTTTCACAGCTGATATTGAGCTTCTTCAGTAATTCTTTCCACAGATGTAATCGATCTGATGCCTATGCATACCACCAGGTGAAATCCATGTGTATAGACTGCCTTTATGTTTCTTATAAAATGTATTTGCAATGAATAAGTCGTTGATTGTGCAAAATTCTATCATTCTATCTCCAGCTTCATTTCTATCAACTCCATGTTTTCCAACTACTGATCCTGCTTCTCTATTCCCAACTTTTGCATTAGAAATAATATTATAAAGAAATAAAAAACAATATTATAAAACAAAATGTATATGAACAATTGACTGAAAATCAATTTGCTTTGTAAATTTTCAAACTCTTAATTTAAAAGTAAAAAGGGAAGGAAAGGACCCAAAGTGTTAAAAAATTCAATAATGAGTCTGAGAAAGGGAATGGAATAGCTTAATGGTCATAAAATGATATGTGACCAAGTGTAATACCACATTTAAAGCTTTACTTTAATTGTATCGCAAGAACCAGTTTACTTAGCTCTAGAATAGGACTTGTAGGCGTGTATTGTCTCTGAATATATGTCAGTTCGAACTACAAAAATATTTTTCAAATTTATTTAATTAGACAATAGAAGATTAAAGGATCTTGAGGATTGCAGGAGAGATACAATTTTATTTAGAAAACACAGTCCAGTAGCAGAGCTCGCGTGGCTTGGTCCTGTAAAGAGTTGTATTAACTCAAAGGCCATGCCTCCGTGGTGGTTCCTATTTCCCTCCCTTCCACAGGGACGATGGACAGTCTCCTTCTGTGTGATTTACTGGTTTGACTGAAAACCAATGGAAGATCAGCCATTGGTTTCTGTAAGTTACACAGTAGCGGAAATGTTATCAGTGAAAACAAAATGCTACTGCCACCTAGTGAAGTTTTAAAAAACTACCTTACAAAAAAACAGTCGTTTTGAAAAGGATTAAGATAGTCTGCTGGTTTAGTCTATGGTGAGTTTCAGGGCTAAGCCAAAGGCAGAGCCTCTCCAGGGGTTCGAATCCACCAGCAGCATAGTGGGAGAAAGATGAGCAATCTCCTCTCATGAAATGTAAGCTCTGCGAAACCCGCTGGAGGGTCAAAGAGGAGTTATTCTGATGTGACAAGCAATGAGTTTGAAAAAAAGATTACAAATTAGTTCCTGTCCTTTTGCTTTCAAAGTATAATTTACTAATACATAGTTTTAAAAATACCATTTTCTTCTATTGTAAAAATAGAAAATTATTTTCTGTTTAACTCATGGTAATCAAATCACATGCTTTCAGAAATACAAAGAAAATTTAAGGAATATTTAGGTTATCTTTTTATAATTGAAGCTAAGAACTGTAAACACACTGTTGTTGTTGTTATGTGCCATCCAGTCACTTGCAACTCATAGCGATCCTATGTACAACAGCCCTAAACTCTGCTCTGTCCTGTGCCAATCTCACTGTCTCTGACACACCCACCCAATTACTCCAGTCACTGAATCATTCCACCTCATAGAGGGTCTTCCCTTCCTGCGTTGTCCCTCCACCCTCCCAAGCATGATGTCCCTCTTCAAGGACCGGTCCCTCCTTGCAACATCTCCAAAGTATGTCAGATGATGCTTTGCCTCCAAAAAGCAGCCTGATTTAACCCTCTCCAGGATGAATCTGTTCATTTTCTTAGCAGTCCACGGTACACTCAATACTCTTCTCCAGCACCACAGCTCCTCAAAAGCTTCAATTCTCTTTCTATACTCCCTAGCCATTGTCCAACTCTCTGATACATAATAACTGATTGCAAAGACCATGGCCTGTATCAAGCACACTTTAATCTCCAGAGAGACACCATTGCTCTTCAGTACTTTTGAGAGGGTCCCTAACAGCAGACTTTCCCATTGCAATGCATCTTTTAATTTCTTGGCTGCTGGTGCCAAGAGTGTTGACTGTGCTTGACTGTGTCAAGCAAACTAACACTGTTAACCATCTCAATCTCTTCACCATCCATCCTGATGTTGCCAATAGGACTTCAAGGACTATAAACACACTAAATGTGGATTCTTAAGGGGATGAAAAACAGGTCTGTCTGGTCCACTTATTATAATATTCAGGACAGGGCTAAATTTACGATTCTTTTAATAAATATTTTTTATAGGAAAATTGGTGGTGGTTGGGTTTCAGACACTGATTGTCTTTTTTCGGTTCTTAAGTTAAACCTCAAACCCATTGTCATGAGTTGGAAGCTGACCCTTCCACTGACTTTTAGAGGCTGTAAATCACATGGAGGCAAATGTCTGTCTTTTTCCTACAGAGCAGCTGGCAGAACTGAACCACCAGGAGGCACCACCTTGGGATTGGCAGCACAACTCCCTCTGCACCACGCCATCAGAGCTCCTCCTTTTTTGGATATAACTGTAAACTATGATACCAGGAGTAATCCCAGGAACTTCCTTCATGCTGCTACAAGCTTTTAACATGCAGTTCCAGACTCAGATCTTCAAATTGTACTTGGGCACACTTTCAAGGCAAGAGCTCATTAAGTATTTGTTTAATTAAATGAAAAGGAATAAGCATCTTACCGCTTCTGACCATGAAGCCACCAGAATTCCCTACGTATCACGATCAGTATAAGCTAGATACTACTAGTATTGTGAGTGCTATAATAAGTTGGTGTACAAAACTCTCTCTGAATTAAAGTCCAAACCAAATCTACCGTCCAGTAACTTTCTTTTTCCTTTGTAGGCTTGTGTTCACAGTCTTCTTGGTAAGCTGTTCTTTTCCTAATTCACCTTTAACCTGCATAGTTTTCTCAGGATCTATTCTTATTCTCTAAAGCCTCTCTTAAGATTGTTGTTATGTACCATCAAGTCTAAATAACTCATAGCTGACTGTCCAGTGGATTTTCAGAGGCTGGAAATCATATGGAAGGAGACTTTCTACCCTACAGCTGCTGGTGAATTTGTACTGTGTAGGCAGTGCAATGTCTCACCACTAAGCCATCAGACCTCTTTCTCTCAAGGTAATCATAACCAATTCTATGGTTTTTAGTATCATCAAGGTCACTGTCTCTGCAATTACTTGCTGTGCATCAGAGAGCTGGACAAGGACTAAAGATGACAGAAGAAGGATTGATGTCTTTGAGTTGTGGTGATGGAGAAGAGTCTTGAACATACCATGGACTGTCAGAACAAATGGGTCTGTTTTGGAGAAGGTAAAACCAAGTTCCTCTTTGGAGGCTAGGATTTTAAAACTCTGTCTCACATACTCTGAGCACGTGGCCAGGAGGGACCGTCCTTGGAAAAGGAAATGATGCTTGGAAGGGTGCAGGGACAGAGCAGGAAAAGAAGACCCGGATGACTTGGATTGACACAGTAACTGCGCCAATGGGATTAGGTGTGTTGGAGTCAGGAAGATCAGCTCAGGACAGGGCAGGATTCAGAGCTATTGTACATAGGGGTCAATATGAGTCACAGAGCAATTCGATGGCACATAAGAACAACAACAACAAAAAGTGAAAATTACTCCAAATTTGCATGTGTCCTAGGCCCATTTTAGACGAGCTGACTGGCTCCTACAATCCGTAAGAAGCAGCTTACCTGTATATGTGCAACTGTTTTCCCAAAAGCTTTTCTTTGTTTGACGTAGTTCCTGGTTTCTTCAAACATGAATTCACTGGCTGCAGTTGCCAACTCAGCAATCAACAGTCTTTCCTATAACCCAAAATTAGATCATGAACATTACTGTAGTTATGCAAGTTATTATTATATGGCTTCAACTGTAAAATTTTCATAAAAAACTTTTATAACTCCTGAATATTAGGTTTATTTCTCAAGTGCTTTAAATCTAAAGATGAATAAAATGATATTATTAAAGAATTATTTTAATCTATCTGTAAGAATTATATATTTGAATGATAGTGGTATTCACTGGACTTCCTTGTATGCGTATAGATATTATCCTGTCACTGACAATATTGTACTTCAAGATGGATCTAGCAATGACTTTTTTAACTATGAAAGCAACTCCATTTTTCCTCACCTTTTCATCTCCAGAGTAATATATCATATGGTCATCTGACTCAAAAT